ATTTTCTGGTCACTATGGCAAATGTATCACCATGATTGTTTTCATAGACAGTCGTGTCAATGCCAAACGCTGTAGTTTTAATGACATCCATAACGAATGTCATAAACATACCCCGAACATTTACACGTTTATCTGACACGGTGCATACCTCCAAGTTATTTACTAAACGAAGTACTCGCTCATTTAAAACGGTATATATTTTACGCAATTTTCCCGTGGTGAATGTTGGGGTAAATAAAGATCTAACTGATTTCCAGTTATCTCGGTCATTCGCATTCATATTCATCATGAATGCTCGAATATACTGAACAATTTGTTGGGCATCTGAAGCATCGGGGAATACGTGAAAATCTTTCACCAGAATTAATTGAACTAGTTCAGGGTCGCAGACATTTAACACAGCCACTTTGCCAACATAGTGTCTAGTTAATTTTATTAACAAATAGAACTCAATCAATTTTATAATAAACTAATAATCAATCGAAATATCGTATTACCTTATTTTAGCTATATACATTAATTTATATGATTTAAAGTTAAATATTATGTATGTTAGTTTAAATGTAAAATAATATTCATTATACCCAAAAATATTTCCATATGTTCTAGACCAATTATAATATACTTGTGGTCTGCTATTTAGCAATTCAATTGCATTACCAAACACCGGGATCGGTTTGGGTCCCTTGATTCCCAATTTAGTCCACTTGTTGTAATTCTTGTACAAAAATCTATATATTATATAATCAATCTAATTATAAATGTAACAATAACTTAAAATTATTTCACTTACTTATGAATTATATACAAGATTATTGAACATAAAATTAAATATAACACAATAATTATAGAATTCATGTTGTGTTTTTAAATTAAACACAAAATATTTTAAATTAAAGTTTAATGATTTAAAATAAAATATAAAACTTATAATATCTGTAGATAAACTCTGATTCCTAATAAATATTCATTACATAACTTAATATTATACGTGTAATAAGTTTGTTAAACACAAACACCATTGCAAAGTGTCTAGACTGTTATTTTATTAGAAACCTATATCCTATTATTTAACTAAACGCAATGTAATAATGATTGTATATTTTTAAAAATATTTCCAACTTCTAAGATAACATATATTTAAATAAACTTATTTTAATAACTTATTTATATAATATTACAAAACATTTAATTTAATAAGTTAATTTTACACTTCAAAAACAAATAAACTAATAAAATATAAAATAATTAAAAATGCTTAAAATAAACATTTATTCAGAATTATTACATATTTCTCTAATGTATTAGATTTAAAAATATTATTCTTATAATTGAGTGAATCAATTTAAATTTACATTCTGGGTTCAATACCAACCATGCACCTTTTAGGCATTCTAATAGTCATAAGCCGTTTATATTGCAGCGGTATATCAGTGTCAGGGATGCGGTACACGCGGTAACGCTTTATAAAATGAGCCAGAGCACATTTCATTACGAGCAATCCAAATCTCATGCCAATGCACGTGCGTGGACCTAGACCAAATGGCATAAACGTGTATGGCACCAACTTATGCTTGTTTTCTGGCATGAATCGATCAGGATCAAATTTCTCTGGATTTTCATAATACTCCCCGGAATGCTGTATATTATAAATGGGAATCTCCACGTGTTGACCAGGCTCAATACTAATGCCTGTCTCGCCTAAACTATAGGCACTGGTAACCTGTCGTACGAGACGGACTGCCGGTGGGTATAGTCGTAGGGACTCCGACACGACTGCATCCAAATACGGCATTTGAGTCAATGCTTCATAACTGATGTCCGATGAGTCGGGTGTCGACGCCGTTATCTCGTCGTAAAGTCTCTGTTGAATGTCTGGGTTGAGGGCCAACTCGTAGGTACAGGCGGTCAGTGCGGCCAAAGTTGGCTTATTTCCGCCGGCAATGAATGCAAACGCCTGTGCCGTCAACTCGTGGTCAGACAAACGGAGTCTTTCTAATGGGTTTGGAAATCACAAAATTGTAAAATATATAATTTAATATAATTTAATTATCAGGCTAATTAGTATTTTAACAAGTTTCTTAACGAGCAGTACGGTATACTAGATTGTAAAAACAGAGTAAATAGTGTTGTATAAATAATGTTTTATATATAATGTTATTTGTACTAGTACGAGTTGTACTATATGTAGCTGTACTAGTAAGATTATAATTACTTTTAAATAAATTTTTAAAATTAAATTATACTAGTCTATTTAAAAGTATATTTTTGGTTGAACAAATAATCAACTTTTATTACAAAAAAAACTAAAATTTAGTGTCATTTATTAAACTTACCTGAATCTTGTTTATCAATGTTGGTTAAGTTAGTTGATCCTGGTACAGCCTGCGTTTCCATAAGAAGTTGAAGGAAATCAATATAATGTTTGTAATTGCGTGTCTGTAAGCGCTCGTTACATATCTCACGAAAAGTACGCAACAAATACTGAATAACTCGTTGGTTACCAAGTTTAGGCCAATTTGACATAAATGACGGCAACATAATTGACAGCAATTCTCGGCGAATATCAACATCAATAAACCGACGCAAACAAATAGCGAGTTCATTTTGTGGCGTATTATAAGCGCTCGTATTTACGGACATGCCACATTTAGGATATGCGTCCACGGTAAATGTTTGCCAAACGTATTTAATGTCTATTACAACATTTTTGCCACCATGATCATTGATAACACGGGATAAATAATTGTCCATATCCCCGAGACTTTTACCAATTTTCGGGTATATTTTTCTCAATTTTCCTGATGTGTAAGCCGGACTAATTAAGTCGCGAATAAGTCTCTTTCTACTTGCATCTTGTTGGTAGATAGCTTTTGTAATGGTTGCCCCATTGGTTTTCATAATTAGGGAACGATCAGTGAACAAGCTCCAATCTTTAATCATGATATCCCTTATAAGCTCAGGGTCACCAATAACCAGAATTGGTGTTTTGCACATAAAATAGCTGTATTTTTTTAAATAAAAATATTAATAAAATAATGTATATTACCTTATGGAGTAATAAAAGCATTGTCATACCCGTATATTTTGCCAAACCTTTTACCCCAGGTAAGATCTTGCATACATTTATATTTTGTAAAATAATGGACACAATTTCCGAATAATAGCCCAGGTGTCGGACCACGTATACCACGTTTACGCCAATAGTCATTCCCTTGAATTAGGTTGCTAAATCTATCATTAATTTAATACAATCTTGTAATTAATATTTTTTTCAAAAATATTTATCTTTAACATAAATATCTTACTTGTATAAGAAAACACTTGCTAATAATACAGAAATCAAGAATAGGATAACATTTAAATACATATCTAATTTTACGAAGCTAATTATTTTTTAAAATTTAAAAGTTTAAAATAATTCAAATTAAATATTTTTAAATGCAACTTATCTTTTTATATTAAAATAATTTGTTTATATGTTCACATAAGGTATGGTCTATAACTAGTTAAATACTTTGCAAAATAAATGACATAGCTTGAAATATTAAAAATAGCATTGTCACATTCTAATGATTAAGTAAATACAGTAATATACTAATTTAGCAAATGTTATTTAAAAAACATTTCTGATTCTTTAAAACACATTAAAATTTGTCGCATTACCCTTACATTGTCTTTATTGCCATGATTTTATAAATGAAGTCAAATACTTTAAAAATTTTATAATAAGAGAGTATATTAATTTTCATAGGTTATATGCATTAAAAATTTTATATTCTACTCATTAAAATTTAAAAATATAACATCTGGTTAATTAAAACGAAACAATCTTTTTGTGAATTTTAAAAGCAGTTAATATTTAACACTTTGTGTTTAAATACACCTTTTTATAACTCTAGAAAATGGATCCTGTATTATTGACAATTGTATTAATCCTTGTAATAATTGCAGTATACAATTACTTGTAAATTCCTGATATTTTAAAATATTTTAGTTATATTTAACATATTTATTATTATAAATAGATTTTATTCACATGAGTACGATTATTGGAGTAAGCAAGGTATAAATGGACCTAAACCAATACCTATATTTGGAAATTTTCTCAGCATATTTAAATGTCAAAAGCACCTACTGGATCTCAATTGGTTCAATAAATATGGGAATATTTATGGGTAAATTAATTTAATTAAATATTTATATTATCTTTTATTAATATTAATATAAATTACAAACATA